TCACGTAATATCGTTACTACAAGATGTAGTAACGATTATAAGTTTCATAGTAACATAATGTGTTACTGCGATTACTTGATAACGTTACTGCAAGAATATGTATAGTAAGAAAAAAAAGGTCCAGTAATATGGAGAGAGAGATGAATTGGCTCAGTTTACTCATGGGGCAAGGATAGAGAGAACCTTCAAAGATTGGTCTTTTGAAATTTAACTCTCCACAAGTAGTAATACTATATCATAAGTGTTATTACTATCTATTATACATTACTACAATTCCATCATAACGTTATTGTGAAAGTGTGGTAAATATTATAAGTTTTGTAGTGTTACTGCATAAACTTGTGGTAGCATGTATCTGCCATGCAGTAACACTTACACTTTTGTGTAGTAACAAAAATATGGTTAGCATGTATATTTTTGTTTCGATTCCTAGTTTACTACAATTTCACCACGATGTTACAATTACGCCATGTAGTAACATATATATATATATATATATACATATATACATATATATATATATAAAGAGAGAGAGAGAGAGTATGTGTGTGTGTGTTGTGTGTCTGTCTGTGTGTGTGCCTGTGTCTGTCTGTCTGTGTGTCTGTCTCTGTGTGTGTGTGTGTCTGTGTGTCTGTGTGTGTCTGTCTGTCTGTGTGTGTGTGTTGTGTGTGTGTGTATGTGTGTGTATGTATGTGTGTATGTATGTATGTGTCTGTGTATGTATGTATGTATGTGTGTGTGCGTGTATGTGTATGTGTGTATGTGATTAGACTTATGCTATTATCAAATCTAGAAATTCAGATCTTGTTCATACAGATATATCATACTTGATGCATAGAGCAAATCAAATCTTAGACTTAGGAATTAATACCTGAACCCTAGCTCATATTTTAAAATTTACCATGAACCTGATTTCATAAATAGTTAAGAGTTAGTTTAAACCTTACTGAATTGTTCTAAAGACATCGATAGTTCAGATTAAAATAAAAAGGAACATGTAGTAGCATATTCCAGTAAAATAGATTACTAGTTGGAGCAATTGTTTATTATCAGATCAACAGTTTAATCCTCCCCTCATCAACTATGTTAATAAATTGTTGCATAAATTGAGTTGTTGATCTATAAGGCATAGATAGTAGCAGTACATCGTCCAATGAAACAAATCATTATCTGCTAACCTCAAGAACAAGCTTTATGGACTACAGTCAATAATCCATGGTATATATATTTTATTATAATTATCAAACTATGCAGCTTGGTGGTTTAATATGTTATTTAGTGAAACAGTTATAAAGATCTGTTCATGTAGTGTGTTACTATTTCATAATTTCAGTTACTTCTAAATGTCAGCATGTATAAGAACATAATCATGTTAGTGGAAATTAAATTATTGCATAACTATGTCATTAATCTGTTTATATGCGCACTCATTCATTCAATTCATTCATAAGCATATATAAGGATATAATCAAGTTAGTGTGGTTTTAATTTCAGTAATAAAATTCATAGGTTTATTCATCTGAGCATTCATTCATCATGGGCATATAGGCATCATCAAATCTAGCAAATCAATTGACCTAGAACCCTAGAACTAGTAATTACAATCCATAGCATAGAGTCATCAAGTTGACCATTAGGATTAGTCTACAAGTATCAACAGTGCATCACAACCATAAATCAGTAGTAGAAAAGGGGGAGAACAGTAACGCTCTGATTTTTGTTCGGGATTAAAAATCATTTAATAATCCATTTCCTAGAAATTAAATAAAAGTTAAATCAATTCAATCAAGTGAAATTATTGGAAGAATTAAAATTTTCCTTTAAAAATCATTGGCCAAGAATATTTTGTAATATTCTTTGTGCCCTAAAATATCCTCCAGATTTTTCTGTGAATTTTCGGAGCTCAAGAAATAATTTTAATAGCACAAAGTTCATTTAACCAATTAAATTAAATGGAAAACAATTTAAAACTCCCCTCTTCGTCTTTGGGCCGCTCCCGGCCCAATCCTCCTCCCTCCTCCCCGCGGCCCGTCCCCTTCCCCCTTCCTTTCTCTCCCTCTCGGGCCGGCCTCTCTCCATCGGCCCGCTCGCCCTTGGAGTCTATTTTTCCTACCCATCCCGCTTCCTCTCTCTCCCTCCCTGACAGGTGGGACCTGTGGACCCCACCTGTCATCCCCAACCTCAAGCCACCCAGCGGCAACCGCCATTGCCGCCCACTACGCCGCTAAAACCGCCGCCTCCAGCCTCCCGCGCGCACGTCCGACCGTGCGGACGTGGTCGCCGCCCACTCCTCCACCCCGTCCCCCATTTTTCCCCAAATTTTCGCGCCTATTCGAGCTCCACCTCGCCCACGTCACTGGTGCCCATTCCTCCTTCAAATCCTCCCCGCCCGGCCACGATTTCCTCCTCCCGGAGCTATATAAACCTTCCCCGGGCAATCCTCTTCCGTTTCCCCCTCCTCCCCGAGTCCCTCACACCCTCTCCCGTACTCCCCGCGCGAGCCCGCGCTCCGCCGCTCGCCGCCGTTTCCCGCCGCTCCCGTCGCTGCCGCGCTGCGCCGCCGCCGCCAAAAGCTCCGCCGCGTCGTGCCGCGCCCCGGCATCCACTCCGTTCTCCCCTTCCACCCCCGCAGCACCATTCCCACCATCAAGATCGAGGCCGCCACTGTTTTGCCACCTCCGGCCGCCGCTTGCCACTGTTCCCGTCCACCTCAAGCCGCGCCGCCCCCACCATCAGCTCCGCCGCTTCGTGCCGCACACCGGCCCTCGCTCTAATTCCCCAACCTGCCGCCGCAACCACCTCTCCACCACGAACCCGAGGCCGCCGCCGTTTTGCCACCTCCGGTCGCCGAGTGCTGCCGCTCCCAACCACTCCGGGCCGCGCCGTGGCTGTCCCCAACATCGCCGCTCCTCGGTCGCCGCCCCTCTTCGCCGGAATTCCGCCAGAGTTCCACTCCCCTCGCGCACTGGTAAGCCCCACCTCTTCCTCTTCATCCGGCCGCTTTTCCCGCCGCCTCATGCCTCCCCTTCCTCGCCTAATCCCGTCTTCTCCTTCCTTAGGTCGAGGCGAAGTCCGTCCGCCATTTCCCGTGTGCCGCTCGCCGCTGAGGAGTCTTTCCGATCGCCACCGGCCGCCCTCTTCCGTCGTTAGCCCACGGTGAGAACCGCCTCCCCTCCCCTTCCCTTCCCTCTTTCTCCCCTTCGCCGGCCGCCTCCCATGCTTGCTCGCGTCGCGCAGCCGCCGCCGGTGGCCGCTCGGCCCGTGTGCCGCCACCGCCGCTGGCCTTGTGTGCGTGATGGCCAGGCCGCGCCACCCGGCCGTCCCCAGCCGTCCGATCGGCCTTGGCTGATCTGGGCCATCGGGGGCGTGCCCGCGTGGCCGGTCGCCGCCGTGGACTCGGTCCACGGTGGGCCGGTACCCCCTTGTGTCGCTGACGTGTGGGGCCCGCCCCTTTTGTGGACGCGGTCCGCGCCTCCCTCTTGCTAACGTCAGCAGTCCGCTTTTCCTTTGTAAAAATAAATAATAATTGCGCAATAAATTGGTATTAATTCCAGAAATTCATTTAAATGGCTCAAAACTTCTAAAATTCATATCTAATTCATACGAACTCCAATTTGAGCCATTCAACTTGAAAAATTCATCTAAAATTAAGCTCTACATGTTTTTTTACTTTTCATGTACTGTTTTCTTGGTGTTTATTAGAGTTTTTCCTCGTTTTGCGTGCTAGCGTGTAGGATCCGTCGTTTCGGAAGTTCGCGGTCGCGAGGAAAAGAGTTCGGAAGATTGTTTTGAAGAAGCAAGGCAAGTCACACATTCCCCTTGAGCATGTTGATCCCAATTTATAAATATTTTACCGTTTGCAAATAAACATGCATGTCTTGCTAATTACATGGGATCCGGGTATTACCTATCTGCTTGCTTGTGCTATGTTTACTTGATATATGTCATTTGTCAACATTGGGTAATAAATCGACTAGCTCATGTTACTTATGTGACCTAGCTAGAACTATATGCTTAGCCATGCTTAATTACAACTAGCTCAGTTGATGGGATAATTGCAGTATTAGACCTTTTTAGCATCAGAACGAGCTGCGTGCTCGAGACACCCGGCCATGTTTCAGTGGTCGTAATTATCCAACTAAAATGCGACTGAATGGTGGGCTGTGGGTGCATGGTTTTACTAGTCGCACCCATGGCAGTTAAGGACCGGTTCGCGGGAAACCCTGGAAGAATTCCTCGTACTTTCCACAAGCCAGCGTGGGCAACGGCTGGGCTTGTAGTGTAGCTTTCCTCTAGCTGACGCATCCAGGTAAGGGTGGGCATGATGGAGTTTGGATGGGCCCTGCGACGGCCTATGTGGCTTCCGGATTCACCATGGCACGAGAGGGGACTGCCCGCTGCCTTGCGAGGAGTGGGGGTGAAACCTGAGGTGTGGTGTGCTTGGTTAGAGGGGGTTATGCGAAGGGTCCTGTCACTGCCTCTTTCCGGTATGTGGTGGTGGCATGTCGGCGCACGGAAACATGTCGTGGGGCTGTGTCTTGTGGTTACAATTGTAAACCTCTGGCCAGAGTAAAACTATTCGAATAGCCGTGCCCGTGGTTATGGGCGGTCGACCAGATTCACCGTGATTAGTCCCACCTTAAAAAATCGACTCAATGCACTGTAGTTCAGGTGGGTTGGTTGGGCCTGTTCAACGTGGTGTAGCGTTGATCAGTGGAGATTTAATGTTACTTTAATTACTCAATAGTTTTACTGTTTTGCTCAATAAAATGTTTTACAACCACCTTTATGCAAATAGCCACAAGCCGTCCTTGTATCCCCTTGCACGTCTGCATCATCGGTGTGGCTTGCTGAGTACGGTGGTTGTACTCAGCCTTGCTATTATTCTCCCTTTTTTTCAGAAGTGTAGTGCTTCTGAGCTGGAGGCGAAGTTAGAAGACCAAGGCTCAGACCCCAGTTGAGTTTTGCCTGTGGAGTGGAGCTGAAGCCCTGCTAGGATCGTCTTTTCTGCTGCTGCTGCTTTCTTTTCGGTGTGAGGATTAAGTGCCTCTTCTGTAAGTATTTACGCTTTATTTACGTTTGGAACTGTATATTACTTGTCATTTTGTGTACCCTGGCTGGTACTGGACAGGGATTTAATACACAAAATAGTCTGGAAATTTGGGCTAAATTTCTGGGTGTGACAAGAACCACCTTGATAGTACAAAACACTAGAGATTAGAGAAGGAGGAAGTAGAAGAGAGGAGTTGTGGTTGTAGCAGTGGTGGAAGCCAGGGAACTTCCCCTGAATCCTTACCTCGCCGGAGTTTTGCTGCCAGCTGCATCTAGGGTTGAGGAGGTTGGAAGTTAGGTTTAGCTTGGGGTCAGACTCATGAGGAGCCACAGAACCGATTTAGGCCAGCAGCGGCTGCGGGGCGGCTGCCGGAGGCAGGGAACAGCGGCGGGCGAGACCTGAGGATGTGGCAGCGTAGGGGAGAGCGAGAGAAAAAGAAAGATAACGAGAAAGGGAGAGAAGAGGAAGAGAGTCTTTTACCCCTATGCCATTAAAAAAAGTTGCTCCTTACCTGTCTGCCACAAAAAAGTTTGGAGTCACCTGTATGCCATGAGCCTAACTTTCATTGACCCGTGTGCCATTCCGTCCACCTTATGTTAGAACTTAACGAGTCCATATCCCCGACATGTGGGACCCAAGTATGAAAATGGCTAATTTGCCCCTACTCTATTTTCAGCTCTATACTCTCACTTTCTCCTCTCTTGCTCTCTCCTCATTTTTGCCGCACGCCGCTGCACCCTAACCCTAGCCGCACACCACCGCCGCCACCTCACCTTGCCGGAGCCGTCACCGTCGCCTAGCCTCGCCGGCGCCCCGTCGCCCCGTCGGCCTGTCGCCTCGTCACCCCGTAGCCCCAGGCCGGCGTGCCCCGTCGCCCCGTCGCCGCGCGCCCAGGTGGCGCGCCCCATCGCCGCGCGCCTGTCGCCGCGCGTCCAGGCAGGCGCGCCCTTGCGCCCTCGCCCCCAGGCCGGCGCCCCCTGCCTCCAAGCCGCCTCCAGGCCGGCTCCTGGTCGCCGCCCGTGCCCACGTCGCCTCCAAGCCACCTCCAGGTCACCGCCCATGGAAGCAGCGAGGTAAAACCTCTATTCTTTCCTGTCCATTCAACACTGACATTTCACAGTGGGGGATTATTCATCTGTAGGATGGACGCCGGATTGGATAGTGAGCCTCCTGACATTTCATAGTGGGAAATTGGGAGTGGGCAATCAGTTGAACTAAACCATACTAAATCTGCAGATAGTGAATCCCTTGCTAGCCCAAACCCATCCAATGAGCATGTGAGTGTTGATGATGAATGCTTGTATATTGACATTGGTCCTGCACCTCCCATTCCCACTAGTCAATCTGAACCAGACACATTGTTAGATGATGAAGTAGAGGAAGATGAAATAGAGGAAGATGACATTGTTACATATAGAGAGCCTTCCCAGAAACCTGATGCAGACTATGACAAGAATGATCCTCCTATGGCAGTAGGCACTATGTATTCAGACATGAATGCTTTTAAGTTGGCTTTAGCTACACATGCTACCAAATATGAGTTCCAATATAACATTGAAAAGAGTGATAAATCTCGGTACAGGGTGTATTGCAGTGGCAAGAATGTGGGCTGTAGGTGGAGAATTCATACCACTCTTTTGAGTGATCAAGTCATAGTGAAGGTAAATTTTTTGTAACACTCTATATGCATTGGTGTCTTTTTTTTGGTAGTAAATAACCATTGATGTCTAAATTGGCAGATCACAAGGAACCCATACGATCATGAGAATTGTCAAAGCACTAGGAGGGCAGGCACTTGTGTAGGAGTGACACAGTTTTGGGTCTGTGAACAAGTGCTTGATTGGTTGAAGGAAGATGAAACATTGGGTGCCAAAGAGCTGAGGAGGAGGTTGAAGGAGAGCCACAAAGTTGAGGTAACCTACAGGAAAGTTTATCTAGGTAGGCAACGTGCTATGGATAAACTTTATGGTCCTTGGTCCTGCAGTTTTGACAACCTGTATAGATTTAAGGCTCAGATAGAGGATACTAATCCTGGATCCTTTGTTGTAATTGATCACCATACCATCAACAACAAAATAAGGTTTAATAGGCTGTTTTTTGCTTTGAAAGCTTGTGTTGATGGTTTCCTATGAGGTTGTAGGCCATATCTTGCAGTAGATAGTACATTTTTAAATGGAAGGTTCAGGGGCCGGTTGTGTGTAGCTTGTGCAGTTGATGGTCACAATTGGATGTACCCAGTAGCTATTGGTGTCATTGACTCAGAAACAAATGAGAATTGGGAGTGGTTTATGAATAGGTTGAAAGAAGCTATAGGCAACCCAGTTGGGCTTACATTCAGCACTGATTGTGGGCAAGCAGTGATGTATGGGGTGAGTGTGGTTTTTTCATATGCTAAACATAGAGAGTGTATGTACCATCTAGTACAGAATTTCAAGAAGAGACATAGTGGACAAATTTTTGATGATCACCTGTGGGCATCTGCATATTCTTGGAGTCCTTGCATGTTTGATAAACATTATCAAGCCATGGCTGTAGCCAAACCAGAGGCTATGAAATATCTTCAGGAAAATCACAGGAAATTGTGGACCAGGAGCCAATTTTCCACTTTGTCAAAAGTGGATTATGTTACCAATAACTTCGCTGAGGCATTCAATAAATGGGTAAGCTTGTCTTGTTTAACACTTTCTTTGCATTGATTTTCATGTTTACTAACAATTAGATTGCTATGTTGGCAGGTAAAGGATCAGAAGGGCCTGCATCTGGATGACTTGATGGATACCATTAGACAGATGATCTTGATTAAATGGAATAATTGAAAAAGGGTTGCCGAAAAGTTTGAAGGAAAGATCTTGCCTCATATAGTGCAGAAGTTGAGAGGAGCTAGCTATAACCTTGACATTGAAGTAATCACAAGCTCACCTGATGGCATTGCAGAAGTTTGTGCTAAGGGAAATTCTGCTAGTACCTTCAGGTTTGTAGTGAACATAAAAGAGAGGACATGCTCTTGCAGAGCTTGGCAATGGTCAGGAATACCATGCAAACATGCCATTGCCTACATCACATCAATCCCTGGGGCCAATCTTGAAGACTATGTGGATGAGTGCTATTCAATTGAGAAATTCAAAATTGCATATGAAGGTTCTGTGCCCTCTATTCCTGACAAGTCCATGTGGTCCAAACCCACCCATGGCTTCTTCATGCATCCTTCATTGCTTAAGTCAACTGCAGGAGGAAGAAGGAAGAACATGATGAAATCAGCTTTGGAGGGAGGTAGTAGTAGGAAGAAATTAGGCACTAAGGGAGGTACTGGCAAAAGGCAACATAAGTGCCCAATATGCCACTAGTTAGGGCACCATTGGTACACATGTAAGAAAGGCAATCCAGATGACATAGCTGCATATGAGGCTGAGAGGTAGACTTCCTAGACATAGCTACACAATTACAACACTTGATGTTTACCTATGCAAAATAACAATTTCCCAAACTTTATTTCAGGGGTCCACCAAAAAAAAGGCTGAAGAAAGCATCTTCCAGTAACACAGTGACTAGCATTGTTGTGGCCACTCCTGGATCAGGCATGGTATTCCCACACAATGAGGTGGTGGCCAGTGCTACACAGAAGCCAAAGAGAGTTAAAAACGCCGCCAAAAAGAAGGGGCCACCAACATCAGCAAGTACTGACAATTCGGTGACGAGCAGGTATGATCTTTCACTTTTCCTGATCTTGTCATTTACAACCTCACTGATCTCCTTTTCTTGCTTTCACACAAGGTCTGTAACTAGATCCAATAACCCCTTTGCTCTCCAAATTGAACACCCTCCAGTTGTTCATGACGACATTGCATCCTATGAAGTCTCTCCACGGACAGTGGAGACACCAAGGAAGAAGCAAGCCATCAAGAAGATTTTTCCCACATTTTCCCAATTTTTCCCAGATTTTTAAACATTTTTAAAATTTATTCTCACTTTTTTCTGATTTTTACCTTTTTTAAAAAATTATTTTCCATTTTTTGATTTTTAACGCCTTTTCTAAATTATTTTTCACTTTTCTGATTTTTTAAACCCATTATTGTACACAAGGACAAAACTGTCTTTACAGAGCCCCTAACACCTCTGTTATGTCTCCATCCATCTAAAATAGCATACGGGTCAACGAAAGTTGGGCTCATGGCATACAAGTAACTCCAAACTTTTTGGTGGCACACAGGTAAGCAGCAACTTTCTTAATGGCATAGGGATAAAAGACTCAGATGAAGATGGTGGGCTAAGTGGCTTGTGTTTATTGGGATTTAGTAGTTGGGCTAATAAAATTTAGAGGTAGAGTTAGAAAATAAAGAAAAATTAATATATGACATTTAAATTCTTTAAACTATTCAAACTTAATTCTTGCATATTCTAATGTATTATTACAGCTACTTATTTTAATTCACTTCAGATGATTTTTAAATTAAATTAAAGTGTGTCTTTTTGAATTAAATATATATGCAACCAAATCTTTCATATTATAAATCTAAATAAAAGTATTTCTTGAAATATATCTTATAAACTATTTTTCTAAGAAAACAAATATATTTAGTTCTATGAAAGCAATATATCTTAGGGCTGTTGAATAAAATCTCTATAGTGAATCAAATTTCTTTAAGTAAAATAATTACTCGTTCTTAAAATAAAAGTTAATAAAAGTAAGTCCATAACCTATATATATCCAGCATGTGCATTACGGTTAGACATATCATGTGCATCGCATTCATATAAACATTCTCGTGTTTTGTTGTGTTTTATTGTTTCTTTCAGTTGGGCGTTTATATCGGATTTCTTGGAATTCTTCATTGATTTATTCATGAGAGAATCTATTCTATACAACTAAGTTTGTTATAGTTCAACAATTTACCACTGACTTTGTCTCTTTCTACAATATATCGGTGACTTTATCAATTGTTCTACAATATGATATTGGGTTAGGCTTATTTTTCAATAATACCTAAAATACCCTTATGGACATATAAGATTAACAGTTGATTTATCTCATTAGAAGTTTCAAAAAAATGTGAAACTTTTATGTGGCCTCCTTACACAGTATATAAGTTTCAATTTTTTTCTATTTATATTTTTATAAAATATAGCATATATGTTATATCCTATATAAAACATTTTTTTGTGTTGTTTTTTTAATGTAAATTATCTTTCATATGCAACATAAGATTTTTTTTGCTATTATCTTTTGTGTAAGCTATTTCTCTCTAGTATACCACACAAAAAAATATTTTTTCTAAAAAAATACCAAAAAAAATTGAAAATATGTATACATACTTCCCTGTTATGTGAGGAGGCCATATAAAAAATTTTATTTTTTTGAAACTTTCTAATGAGATAAATTAACTGTTAACCATGTATGTCTCTAAGGGTATTTTGGGTATTTTTTAAAAAGAGCCCCATCTCAATGGCATATTGTAGACAGTTAATAAAGTCATCGGTATATTGTAGAAAGAGACAATGTCACTGGTGAATCGTTGAATTGGGATAAACTCAGTGGCATAGAATAGATTCTCTCTTTATTCATCTTCAATTTTGGGTATCGCAAGCAAGTCCAACACCTTTGACCAACTCTTGTTATATTTTCGTAATTGCAATCTATATGTATCACCTAGCATTAAATTATACTTTCTATAATTAAAATAAATATGCTGATGGATTGGATTGGCTGGTGGAGCAGTCGGTCATATATAGGTGTATTCTGAACTTGCCATGGTTGTCGGGGTTCAGCTGTATATATTTATCATCGTAAGGTTAAATAACAATTGTTATATGGCATTCAAGTGCTGTAGCGATCGTATCAACCACATGACCTGGAATGGGATAGGCTAGCTTAGTAGTTCTTTCTTAATGGCTTTATCCTGCGGGCTTAAGGACTTCCGCGAATCCTGTGAGCGTGGCCTAGTGATGAGGGTTGTTGTTGTTGTGGAATCCGATTAGATGATGTGGATCACCATTGTTGCGGGATCCAATGATTCGCCGTTGTTGCGGGAATCACCCGCAGAGATAATTGATAGATGGGATTGATGAAAAGCTTATGACCTTAGCCTTGCCGGCATACACCATAAAGTGTGCTTCAAGCACCAACGGGCGTGGGCATTAAAAGGTTTAAGGCGTCTGTGGGTACAGAGACACACCTCTGCAGAGTGTATGAAGTGTGATATGTCACTCCCTGTTTTGGGTAGAAACCGCGAATGCGGTAGGAAAGGAACCTATCGGAGGTTCTAATACCTTTGGTGCCTTATATGCAGTAGATTTTATAATTACTTAATATGAGTTTTTACAACACTGTTTTATGAACATGCATAAAATTCCTTGTTGGATTATGGTGGCTTTGGACATATATGTATTATGCAGGTGGATTATGGGCATATATTTGTTGGATTGCTATAGTTGGACTTGTTGAGTACCATTCGTACTCATCCCCTATATATTATTCCTTGTAGTGTTGAGCTAACAATTAGGTGACGAGAAGATTCTGCAAAAATTGATCAAGTGTTGCATATCTCTACATCAACTAAATGATGAAGGTGATGATGATATAGAAGAGCAAGGTACTGTTAGTGTTATTATTTTGATAAAAACTAATTTCTTATGGTTTTTATTTAATGGGTTTCGCTACAATTGTTTTTTGCTATGCTACTCTGGTGTGCTCAGGTCTTGGTAAGTTGATTCTTACTAAGGAATGAGCCGTAGACCGGTATTCTACCTCGGAAGTGGAATACGAGGGTCGCTACAGGCTGGCGGTGGCGGAGTCGGAGACGGCACGAGGACGGTGGATCAAGTGCGCACTGCGGCGGCCACAGGCGACGCGCTGGTCGCGACACGGTCCTCGCTTTGAGCTGAGGACGCTGGGGAGGCCCTGTCAATAAAAACACAAAGGGGTGCTGATTGAACACAGAATAAAATCAGAAGTTATAACTCCGAGAACAAGAGCTCGAGATTTCACTTACTTGGTTTTGGCCCTCTTCAGCAGTCTGGGAGCTAGATGGAGATCGCCAATACCCTAAGTAACAAGGCAAATAAGAGCTGACTTCTCGCCGGAAACAAGATATACCGAGAGTAAAAAGAAAAGGCACTCACCTCAGAGCCACTCGTTCAAGAATGAGAACCGGCACTAGGAGCAGTGAGGGCCCACTTCCTCTTAGGGATTTTGGTGCCGTTGCCGCTTGTCATGGATCCCGTCACCGTCGTCGTCTACAGGGAGATCTTTTCCTTTAAAGAGGCGGCGGCCTGGCGGTCGGCGAGGGGCCCAATGTCATCCGCCAAGGGTAGTGCCTGTACAAGATGAAGTCACTTCGTTTCCCAAATCAAGAGGAGACAAGTGAACAAAATGGAGTCAGACACTTATGTTGATGATGGCGGACTTCTCGGCGTTGGTGAACTCGCAGACGACACTCGTCGGCTCATCGGCACCTGACGGAACGCTTATCAGCACCCGCCCCACGCGTTGAGCCACCGTCTTGTTGCTAAGATCTGCAAAGGGAGACAGGACCATTTCAGGATAAATATGAGTACAATGACAGCAAAAGAAACATATAGACGATGACACGAGAACGAGTACCCCGCGTCGAGATCCGCGTCTCGTCATCCTTCCCCATGTAGTCAAAGGCAGGGTGAGCACGGGCCTGGAGCGGTTGGATACACCGGGTAATGAAGTCTTGAGAGACTTCATACCCAGTCAATCCCCATTCTCGCAGGCTGCTAATTGTATTGACAAACTCTTGAGTGAGGAGGTCAGAGAAGGCTTGGTGGTCCAATCCTGAGAATGCTCAGGCTTGTCCTCCGGGAACATCAGTACAGGGTCGAGGTTTTTTATCTCAAAATAAAACCATTTCGACCACCATTGGCTCCGGGATGATGGGCATTGGAAGGGGATGTAAACCGCCTTCATACCATCAGGAAGATGAAATCCACAACATCCTGATATTCTGTTGGATTCCATCCACCGGAGCTTGTAGTAGTAGCGGAAGAGATCAAGGCACCACACCAACGTAGGCCTCGCAAAGGTGAACGAAAATGCTCAGAAAAGCAATGGAGTTGGAGTTGATGTGCATTAGGGAAAGCCGGTAGAAGTTCAAGATCAAAAGAAGGAATTCAGAAGGCGGAGGCAAGAAACTGTTGGAAATATAGTCATTAATCGGCATATTTTAATCCAAGAAATTGAAACAATGATCATGGCATAAGCAGTGTAGGGTGATCTTAACATAACCAGTAACATACTATGCGCATCATGAATGTCAGGAACAGGAACATACCAGTAACGCGATAACATGCTAGAGGCATCATATAGAACAGGAACAAGAACATAGCGCACATAATATAGCGATAGCGCTAGCAATGGGAACAGGAATAGCGCTAACAACAGTAGCAGGAGGAGAAGATTATACACCGAGAATGGCCCTCCGCTGGATGGTGAGGCAGAATTGCCTCCGTTGTTGTTGTCGTTCACGGCACCTCCTGGCGCACCAGCTCTGGATCCAGATCCAGCTCCTGTCGGCGGCGGCGGCGTACCACCTCCGCCAGCAGTGGCGGCGGCAACTCCAGACATGGCGATGAGCAGTCGTGCGGGAGGCACTCCCCAAAAACCAGATCACCCGCCTACCCGGTGCAGATCTCAGGCGAAGGTGTGGTTTCGGAGGCACTGCTCCTTCCAATCTCTCGTGCGCGCAAGAGATCAGAAGCGGGGAAGCGAGAGCAACTCAGGCGCGGAGAAGGAGAAACTAACACCGGGAAAGAAGCGAAGAAAACGGATCGGACTCGCGGCCTCCTTATCTATCAGGAGAAAGAACGTGGATGCGCTGTTGCGGAGGGAATCGTGGGAACGTGGGTTAGTGGCTGCAAAAGGATAGCGACGTGACGTGACGCACGCACGCCGCCAGCCACGGCCACGGCCCGGCCCGGCCCGGCCCGGCGCGCGCGCGCGCGCGTGTGGCATTCCGACCCCCACCTCAACTGGTCAACAGGGAGCCTCCAATAACTCCCTATTTAGGTTGAGATATTTCTCGCTTAAATCCTAAGGTGGTATTATTATCCTCAACATTTATTATGGGCCTTTGAGATTTAATATTATAAGTTGGGCCTAGCCCAATTATTCTAACAATCCCCACCAAATTTCAAGGCTC